TATATTGATATATTGAGGAGTTATTACAATAGTTGGAATTGTATAATGAATAATATCAAACAAGAATAGATTGTAATGAACTACAAGTTCATATTGTTTTAGATCTGAATCTGACAAAAACGAAATTTCTAGGTTTGTAAAGATACATAGTTTTTTATTACTAAGAAATCAGATTTGATTTTCTATAACTCAACATCATAGATTTGTTTTACAATTTTTCTAATTTTATTAGATCCTTCTAGGAGTGTAAACTAATGCAATAATCGATGATGACGACAGCTGAAAGTGTTCGATGCTTTTTTTTGTCAAAATTTTCTTAGTTCTGTGATAATAAGAAACTAGACAAGAACATTCTTGAAAATCGATCTAAGATATCAAAAATCTAACATCTATTTTTATATCATAACGACAACGGTTCAATCGATTGGCTTACAGCTCTAATTACTTCGAACTTTGTTTTCTTTTTCTTTCATTAAAATTGATACGATCATAATCTTTCAATAGAATAGTATTGTGATAAATATTCAAATAAACTAAGATTTTATCTTGAAGAAATTTTCATTTTGAAAATAAATTCTCATATTTATTTTATTCAAATATTAATCATTGTTTGATTCAATCTGATAGATTAGGCAATATTCTTATATTAAAATATAACACTTACTATTTTGTCTATTTTAATTGTATTTATAGACATTTTCTCATAGGAACTTTTTTATTTTCATAAAATACTGTTTTTCTTTTTCAGTAATAATTATCGAATGGTTGCTATTTTACTATTTGATATACCATATGACTGCTGTCATCATCATCATCAAACTACTTTATGTAACATAGATGTTGAAAAGAAAACTAATAGAAAAGATCACCTGCAGTAACAACATTATTCTTCTTACTGTGCAAACAATGACAGAACCAATAAGAAGAAGAAAAAAAAAATCAGTTCTTTATTTTTCTTTTTATTTCTTCAATAATCAAATATATTTTATTATATTGTATCGACACAATGAAACCTAATTTACAATTGTATATTATTGACAGATGCTTATCAATGATGATAACTTATAGTCAATTCGAATCAAATAATATATATATATATATGTTTATTGTTTTGTTCTATAGATTGAAGACAAATCAACAATTCATTCTATAAAATAAAAATAAAAATTACCTAGAGAATAGACGTGTATGTTGAGATTATTTTTTAATGAAATGAAAATATAACTAAGCATATAAAATTCAATGTTTTGTTTTCTTTTGTTTTCTTTTGTCTTTTTCTCTCTCATTTTTTTTTATTATTCACATCAAATTTTTCATTTTTCTTTCAAGAACAATGTCGGAAACAAGTCGTCCAGCATCACGTTGGTCATCATCATCACCGGCAAGAATAAAATCAAGTAATATATATAATGGTCAAACAATACCATTAATAATATCACGAAGAAAATTATTTCGAACATCAAAAAATCATCAACAAACATTTACACAACGTATGGCAAAAGTACGACATGATACTGAAGAATTATTTCAATTATATTATTCAAATAATATTAAATTTGATACATTTCAACAACAAATTGTTACTGGTCAATTTTAATTTTAAATATTATTTAAAATTAAAATTTTTTTTTTTTTTTTACATTATAGGAACACGTATACGATTTGTACAAGGATCATCACCTATTCAAAATCATATAACTGATAATTCAACAAATACATTTAATTCTAAAAATAGTGTTAGTCAAGAACAAATGAGTCCATTAGAAATATGTCGTATGTATATTATATAGACTTAGTTTTTTTTTTAAATAATTTTACATATATTCTATTAAGAATATGAAAATCAAATATCTAATAATGAATCAAAACAATCACCAGTAAAACGTACTGTTCAAGTTCGAATTGATAATAATCCAATGATTGTACCATCAACTCCCACAGGATCAACACGTTCATCTTCACCGAATTGTGAAATATCTGTTGATTCGACTTCGAATTTAAATACATTAGTAGATTCTTCTTTAATTCGACAAGATGAACTTAATGAATCATCATTAATTAAAAAAGGTACTTTTCTTGGAGATATTTCAATTGATTCATTTGAACATAATAATACAAAAAACAATAAAACAAACAATGAACAACGTTCAATATCAGCAAAACTATCATTATCTACTATTTCACTACCAACTTCTTCACTAATAAATAATCGAAAAGATCCAATCAATATATCTTATTCATCATTTTCAACAATAAATTCAATACAACAACAAAATCCACCACATATTGTTACGGGTACAGCAGTTACAGCTCATCAACGATCATCATCACAGCATAAACAACGACCAAAATCAAGTGTGACTATGTCAACATATTCATTTCCCAAACAATCAGACATCAAGGCCAGGTTTGCTGGTTTTTTTTTTAAAATATCGAAATCAGAAACGAAGGAATGTTTTTAAATAAATTGAGGCTCAGTGGAAATTTATTTATTCTTTGAGTACATCATTTTACGAATTCTCTAGTTAACAAACCATTCCTATGTGAATAAAATAAAAGATTCTGCTAAGAACTATGACGACATAGATAGTGAGGTTTTACTGTTGTTTCAATCTTTCAATTTTCTTCGTTACATAATATAGATAAGTATGTACAAAGTTTCTATCTCTGCAGTACAATACGATTCTGGCCTAGCCAAACAAGGCTAGATTCGAGTATGGTCATGCCTTAGAGCCATAATTCCGGTGAGGCTAATGATGGAAATATGTCGAACACCATTTGACTTCATATTATAGTTACGAGTAGGTTCCAGTGAGACTTAAACAAACATAAAAAGATTCGGTACATGATCCATTAATGAAGAGTTACGGTCGTTTTAACAGAAGTTTTACTGAGAAATCTGAAACAAAGAGTTTTGACCTGCAATATTGTCTATAGGTAGATCTGATAGTTCTGAAAGTTTCAACGAAAATAAATATGTCTTTATTGAAATATACAATTTCTAATTAGATTCGATTACTGTGTCCTCCTTTGGTAAACCAGCAGTATTTGTTTTGGAAATTGAATGTCTCCAGAAAGATGATCATGGATCCGCATCCTTTTAAACTTCTCTTAGTCTCACTATGATCTACTTGTATCCATAATGAGAATAGTGTACAGGTTCCGTCACTCGTGATGACAACGGTCAAGGAGGCTCGCGTTCCGCGGCATCTCGAACAGCCCAACGAAACACTATGAAACTTTCAAGACAGATACATCTCGATAAGTAGAGCAAAAGTTGTCATAGACTCAGAATTCCCAGAGACTTCCTTCAGGGTGATATGGAAGTTGCAAAGGCAAAAAAAGACCAGAAGTTCCCCGCCGCAAAACTCTATACTTCATTTTTTCTAGCAGCAATTTTTTTTTTCTTTCACAACTCCCTCAGGAGAAGCACAATACTGGAAGTACCGTCAAACAACGTGTTGTTTTTCAATAGTAGTAGTTTTTGTAAAAGCTGCCGTATTTCGTAGCAAAACAACAATTTGAAGAAAAAAGAAAAACGCACACTCCAATTTGACCAAGGTACTCAGAAAAAAAATTTTGAATCCTATCGGATGTACTGCATGGAAGAAAAGGTGGGAATACTCCGTTTTTTCTTTGTTCAAAAATAGATTTTGAGAAAGATGAAAAGCAAATTTTTCTGTATGCATCAGCACTTTTCTCCAACAAAAGTGATTGAAAACTGGTCGTATTCACCGATGTTAAAGGTCCATAATCTCAGTACCTTTAGCAATTATCATTAGACGAATTTCGTATACAAAAACAAGTAATTCCAACGCCAGTTTTTCTGTTAGGAATTTCGAGAATTGAATTTCATAAAAGTATTAACTAATAATGAAGAACTCTCATTTATATGGCATTTAACAGACGACACTCTTTTATAGTCCATTATTATCTCAATCTACTATATCTGACTGTCCTGTATTTATTGGTTCACAACGTGTCGTATCAATTCCATCAAAAAGCAGGTAATAGAAGATTTATTCATAAAAAGAAATTATATATATATATATTTTTTTTTTCTTTAATTAGTCGTTATGTTCTTGTTACATTTCCACAAACTCCTATACGTTATAATGCTCCAACACATGTTGAACGTTTATTATTACCGGAACGTTTTCCAACATTATTTCAAAATATAGTACATAGTTATGAACATAATCGAAATACTAAATAATTAAGTTTTGTCATATAGCATATATATATATTTTTTTTTTCAAAATAAAATTTAAAAAACAAAATTTAATTACAGAAAAATAATACCGGATAAAAACCTGAGCAAAATATTTTGTTTTTAAATCGGTTCATTTAAATTCCATGAAAATGTATTTTTAAAACGATCGAAAAATCCAGCTTTGGGAGGTTCAGTAGAAGGAGCTGGTGGTTGTTCGGCTGTTTGTTCTGTTGTTGTTTCATTATTATTATTTATATTTGTTGTTGCGTCACTATTATTATTTACATTTGTTGTTGCTTCATTATTATTATTTACATTTGTCGTTGTTTCATTAGTATTATTTATATTTGTTGTTGCTTCATTATTATTATTTACATTTGTTGTTGTTTCATTATTGTTATTATTTACATTTGTTGATGTTTCCTAGGAAAAAAAAACAAATTAAAATAAAATAAAATGTTACTTTAATTCGAAATAATAAGCCAAAAAAAAAAACAAAACAACAATCAAATTCTTACCGACGAAAAGATGTTCTCTATAAATAATATAACCCATCACCTTTATGTTTTTTTTTTGTTTTTTTTTTCTCATTTTTACTAAAACTAAACTTTTAACTTACTTGTTTTTCATTTGATTCAGTAGATTTTTCTATTGTATTTTCATTGGATATTTCTTTAAGATAATTCGATGGTACAAAACCTTTTTTACCATTTTCTAATTCACCAGAATAAAATCCATCATCATGAATATTTCCATGTACATATATAATATCACCAGAATGAAATGATAATTCATCTTTAGAATTTGCATTTGGTGAATGTTCATTTGGATTATAATCAAATAAAGCTATCATTTTTTTAATTGATTTTGGACTTTTTGGTGTTGATAGAGATGATGTTCGGTGTTTTGTTGATACTTAAGAACAAAACAAAAAA